ATTTCCACAATTTGAAGATCTGCCCAAAAGATGGCCAATAACAAACTAACATTTTCTATTTCTGAATAGAATAGTTCCAAGCAACAATGAAAATATTTAAATCTTGGTGACAGTGGTCTTCCTTCCTCTTCCGTCTGTAAATTCTGTATTCTTATCCAGATTAAATTTATATATATTGGCTTTCAATCTGAAAGTCTAAAGGCTGCTTTTAATATATCAACTATTAACACTGCAGACAGTAGGATACCAACTGGTGCTAACTTCAAATGGAACAAGTCAAATTAAACTTTCCCCACATTACCCCTGTGAATAGTATAGCTAGCCCATATATATACGCAGTTTACATACTGGCCTACATCCAACACTGTATGAATGAAGTTCCCTTCAAGCACAAGGAACTTTACTTTTCTCATTCCTGAAGCCCTGAATATGCTCTGCAGGGTACCGCAGGAACCCAGGAGTTGGGTGAACTTAGAATTTTCCAGTAGAATGACACAATTGGATATACCAATATATTTATTTCAGCTCATGTAGTTATTACGTTCAGTGCACTTTCTTTACAGTAGTCCTTGACTTACGACCATTTGAAGTTACAATGGCACTGAAAAAAGTTAATCACGACCGGTCCTTGCACTTACAACTGTTGCAGAGTCCCCATGGTCACATGATCAAAATTCAGGCACTAGGAAACTGGCATGTATTTATGATAGTTGCAGCATCCCAGGTCTCATGCTCGCCATTTGCAACCTTCCCAGCCAGCTTCCATCAAGCAAAATCAACAAGGAACCGCATGATTCACTTAACGAGGACGTGATTCGCTTAACAACCATGTGATTCACTTAACCACAGCAATTCACTTAACGACACTGCAAAAAAGGTCGTAAAATAGGGTGCAGTCACATGATACCTCGGTTAATGACCTCACTGCTTAATGGCGAATTTTCCGGTCCCTATTGTGGTCATAAGTCAAGGACTACCTGTAGTCTTTAGAAAAAACATGTATAGGCAATCCTTTGAATTGAGAATTATATTCTGCCTTTTATTCAGAAGCTCAAAGTAGTAATTATAGCACATCTTCCTGTGAAGTAGGTTTTGCTGACAGTCACTGACCTTTGTCACCGAGTAAACTTCCATGGCTGTGGATGAACTAGAACCTGGATCTAGTTGCATTGACATTTATGTGACATGTTAATCATGAAAAAAAATTCACACTGACGTTGGTGTGACCTTACCGCAAATACCTTACTTTAGATCCTGTCCAGTGAAATGGAACAAAAGATACAAGTAAAACCCAACAACAAATCTAAATTGTGTTAGGTATTGGAAAACCTCTCATTTTCATAACAGCAATGGACTGAAAAAAATCAATCTTTGTAGGGCAGACAATTGGACTCATATTACTCCAAAAATTATGTGACTGAAATAAATTTAAGAACTTCTATCATAATTTGCCTACTTCCCACAATAAATTAGTGTTTCATTATCATAGTAGAATTTTAATAAAAAATAGCCTTGAAAGGAAAAAAAAATACACTAAGCATATTTCTGTTTAGTTTTGCTATGCTTTCTAGAATCCATTATGATTTGAGTGTCAATCTTCGGTCTCCCCTAGCAAATGACTCTCTAGATGAGCTGGACTATCATTTCCATAATTGCCTGGTAGAAGGCTACTCCAGCTCAAAATAATGCATGCTATCATATTTATTATTCCTAACATCTGTTCCTGTAATAATCCCAAATCTCTAACACATTAGGCTAGTGCCATACTGAGGGAGGCCGATTTCCTAAATAACTCGCCTCTTCCTTTTTCACAGGAGTGCTATGGGCTGCAACACTGGAAAATTGGTCTAATGCATTCTGGTGCTCTTCCTTCACTTGCTGTGGCTGCTGTTCTTGAGTTGCTGTTCCTTGTTGACCAGATGTTTCTTTCTGCTCTTGGTCCTGATCTTTGGATTCAGAGTCTGAACCAGATTCTGTAGTCATGGTTGATTATCCTACAATAAAAGGAAGAAACATATGATTCAGAATCATAACAATCCAAAAAGTATACAAGAAAGGTGGATTTATAAAATATTTATATATAATAATATTTATAAAATATCTTCCCTCCCTTCACATGCGGTCAATCTCAGCAAGGTCTGGCTAATTTATTTTGAATGCAGGATGTTCCTAACTCTGGTTACTAAAAGTACCAGCTAGAAATTAGTTTGTTTAGGGCTCCTAAACAAGAGAGT